TGAACCAATCACCTTTAAATACCCACTTGTTTCTGGCCTTCCACAAGTTCCAGATTAAGTAGGCGGATAAAGTGATTCTCTTATTAAGGATAGTAGACATACCTTTAGAGCAAATGTCCATCCACCATCTTTGAAAGTCCATGTCCTTGGTCTGCATTAAGTCCCAGTGAACCCCACTTAACTTCCAACAGGTTCTGGATTTTGAGCATTGGAAGAGAAGATGGTTTAAGTCTTCATTTTCCTCACCACACACCTTACACACAGGGTCCACATCAATCCCCTTCTCTCATCTTTGACGGAATCGATCCCCTTTTGTACAAGAATATGTGGAGTTGAGCATGTCTGGAAGCACAGGAGAACGACCCCTTAACCTCCCATTCACCCCTAAAAATCTAAACCAACATTTCTAAATGAAGAATTTAATTTTGGGCTTCAAATTCAACTTCCAGCAAGTTTTCCACATTCTTTTCCACCATTCAGAGCTATCACTAGTAGAAGCTTGGGGCCCCTACTTGCCCCTAATTTCCAAGATAGTACGGTACACAGCCTTAACAGTGAATTCCCCCTTTCTACCCCAATGCCAAATCAACCTATCCTGATTTCTATGCCTAGATAAAGGAATTTTAAGAATGCAGGCTGCATCAATAGGGTCAAAGGTTTGTTGAATCAAATCCATGTCCCACTCTCTCCCCCCCGTTCTAATCAGATCACTAACCTTGACTATCCTGCTCTTATCACCCCAAAAACAACACTTAGGCTTAAAAGAAGAATTGTTTGGGATCCAAGGAGAATCCCAAACATTAATGGATTGCCCAGTGCCCACCTCATATCTAGCTCATAGATTAAAAGAAGCCCTAGCCCCCAACCAACTTTTCCAAAGCCAAGAATCCCCATCCTTGGCTTTAATCTCCATTAAATCCCTATTCCAAAAGTATTTGCCTTTCAGCACCTTACTAACTAGGAGATTAGGCTGAGTTTGGATTCTCCAAAGTTGTTTAACCAATAAAGATTCACTAAAGGCCCTCAGGTCCTTAAACCCTAACCCCCCCCCTCTGATTTTGGCACTACCAGTTTGCTCCACTCAGCCCAATGCACTCTATTACCCCCTTTATCATTTTGACCCCACCAAAAATTAGCAATATCACTGCGGATTTGATTAATAATGCTGATAGGAATCCTAAAACAAGACATAACATAGGTTGGTAAGGCATTCAAAACAGATTTGATCAGAATATCTCTCCCAGAATCACTCAAAAACTTGTTTTTCCAGCTCATGATCTTGTTTTTCACAGATTTGATCAGAATATCTCTCCCAGAATATCTCTCCCAGATTTGATCAGAATATCTCTCCCAGAATCACTCAAAAACTTGTTTTTCCAGCTCATGATCTTGTTTTTCACACAATCACTCACAAATTTAAAAGTATCAAGCTTAGATCTACCAATGCCTAATGGAAGCCCTAAATATCTAGAGGAAGTCACTCTGTTAATCCCATAAAGCATGCTACAGATTTGACCCTGAGTTCCAATGGGCGTGTTTTTAGAAAAAAGAATGGAAGATTAGGCAAAGTTAACAGCTTGACCAGATTCAAAACCATATTGGGCTAGAATATCACAGATTAATTGGGCATGAAAGAAGTCAGCTTTACAAAAGAAGATGGAATCATCTGCAAAGAATAGATGACTCACTAAAGGAGCATGCCTACCTATTTTCAAACCAGTAAAAAGCCCAGATCTGCAGGCTTGGTTAATAAGATTTGAGAGAGCTTCTGAGACAAGAATAAAGAGATAAAGTGACAAAGGATCACCTTGTCTCAGACCCCTTGTGGGTTGAATATAACAAAGTACAGAACCATTTAAATTGAAAGAATAGGAAGCAGTGCACACACAAGCAAGAATCCAAGATAAGAAAGTATCAGAGAAACCCATTTTTCTGCAAACCTTAGCAAGAAAAGCCCATTCCACTCTATCATAAGCTTTAGCCATATCAAGTTTGATAGCCATAAAGTTCTTTTTACCTTTCCTTTTACTATTCAAAAAATGGACACATTCATTGGCTATAATCACATTATCAAGGATTTGCCTACCAGGAACAAATGCAGACTGAGAATATGAAATGCAATGAGGCAAAACCTTTTTTAACCTATTAGCAACAATCTTGGCTATCAACTTACAAATCACAGAGCATAAACTGATGGGTTTAAAATCTATAACTCTATTGGGATTTTTCTTTTTAGGGATAAGAGTTATAACAACATGATTTAGACCTCTAGGCATTCTACCAGTGTCAAAAAAATTATGGACAACCAGACAAACATGAAACTTAATAGTGGGCCAGGTTTTTTGAAAGAAAGAAGCTGTAAAACCATCCTCACCAGGAGCTTTATCCTGGCCCATATCAAAAAGAGCACACTCAATCTCTTCATCTTCCAGTTTTTTAATTAAATCAGCATTCATCTCACAAGTAATGTTTCTGGAGATACCATCTAAGCTGCAACTGCTATCAAGAGGTTGGGAAGATTGGAAAAGCTTTTCAAAGTAATCAACAATCTCTACCAAAACTTCCCCTTGATTAATACATTTAGTCCCATCAGTTTTAACAATATCATTGAGGTTATTGAGCTTCCTTCTCTGTCTGACACTAGCATGAAAGAATTTAGAGTTTCTGTCACCATCCTTAAGCCAGAGAACCCTGGCTTTCTGTTTCCAGAAAAGCTCCTCACTTTCATAAGCTAGTTGGGACTCTAATTTGCATCTACTCCAATCACCCCAGTCCCTATCCCCTCCTTGTCTTCTAAGAAGATCCAATTTAACCTTACAATCATTAATAATGGTCCTAGCATTCAACCCAACACCCTTCTTCCAAGTTAATATAGCCTTTCTAACATTTTTCAATCTCTGCTGAACACCAAAGAGGGCATGACCAGGCACATCAAGATTCCAAGCTACAGACACCATATCCTCAAAACCTTCCATACTGACCCACCTAATATCAAACACAAACCTTTTTTTAAAAGACTCACATCCAGGATTACAGTGCAATAAGATCATGGAATGATCAGAAGAACTCACAGAAAGATGAGAAACCTGAGAATTAGGAAAGTGATTAAACCAACTATGAAAGAATAGGAACCTGTCCAGTTTTTCCTCAATAGCCTTATCACCTTTCCTGTTGTTAGTCCAGGTGTAAGGGTGCCCTAGCACATTGGTTTCAACTACTCCCAAAGTAGTAATCAAGTTCCTAAATTCCATAAAACTGGCTTCCTCTCTTTTAAGACCACCAGATTTTCCAGATTGCTCCAGAATATCATTAAAATCCCCACAAATGAACCAAGAATCCCCCCAATATAAATTATGCCTAATTAAGACCTCCCACTGAAATTTTCTGATCTCACAATCAGTACTAGCATAGATAAAAATACCCCAAAACACTTCAGAGTGACCAGATACAGAAAATTTAACTTCTAAACAAAACTCAGAAGGAATGATCTGAAGGATAGAAATCCTCTCTGACCACCAAAGGAACATCCCTCCTTTAAAACCAACTGGTTTAGCATAAAACCAGTTATCGCCAAGCTTAAGTTTTTTACACATAGACT